AAATGTTCCAAGGGATTATATGTAGATTCTTTAAAATAGGTCATTATTTATAAATGTAACAAATATTATCTTTAACACTTATTCTGGTGCTCAAGGTTTTCTTGATGGAAACAGTTGATAGTGTTGCCGTTTCCCATACACTCGTTTAACTTATCTCTTGGTCTCTAATTCTCACTTTTTCAAATTGTCCCCCAACACCTCCTACCTTCTCTCCATCAATCTAATTTTACCACCTTCAAAATCAGCCCAATAGCTTTCCCAAGGGGCCTCCTCTTCCCAATTATACCCACTGTGTCGGCCTGTTTCCCACTCTCTGCAGACACACCATCACAGCCCGTGCCACACTCTGTTGTGAACACACCTGTTTCTCTCCGCTCGTTCTCCTTTGTACACTACAAACTTTCGAAGCCTCTCTTAAGGTGCTGTATGTAGCGCAGAAAAGCTCACTAAATAGAGTCATACGCCACAGAAGGACACTTTGGACAAAGACAGGCTTCCTATACAATGATGGCCCCATAAAATTATAACACTATATTTTTATTTTACCTTTTCTATGTTTAGATGTGTTTCGATACACAAATACTTATGCTCATATTACAACTGCCTACAGTATTCAGGATAGCCACATGCTGTACAGGTCTGCAGCCTAGGAGCTGTAAGCTGTGTACCTCATAGCATACGTGTGTAGTAAGCTGTACCATCTAATTCGTTTAAGTACACTATATGATGTTTGCATAACAATGAAATCACCTAATGACCCATTTCTCAGAAGGTATCCCTGTTGTTAAGCGACACATGACTGTACTTGATACATAAACAAATCCTTTGAATGACGATGAATTTAGGCTTTCTCTAGTCTGCTAGACATTTATGATAATCACCAGGGGCTCAAATTTATCTTTGCCACTAAGAAGCAAGTAGACCCACTTCATTCTATCAAATTTGTTAATCTAGTAAACTTGTGATTGTTGCATATACATTAATAGAGCCACTGTAACACCTGCAAAGTGGATGACGCTATGGCACCTTTCCCATAAATGACTCTGGGTGCTCTGCACTCTGCATACACAAGTCCTAACAGGAGCGCAAAACAGTTATCCCAAATCACAAAATGCAAGAACCTAGAAGCCAGTTTTCCCCAAGATCCCAGAGGTAAAGCCTCACTATAGCTCACATCTCTCAACTTCCAGCCCGGTGATTTTCTCACTTAGCCATTAATTATCAAGTAACATGATTTAGGGTCTCCAGGCGGTGTGATGGGTCAGCAAATCACGAGCACTTCCACAATCAAGCCCCCCCCCAAAGTGCTCGCCTACCTGTTAAACATCAGTCTGCTTTACAAACTGTGAGGAAGATGAGGCGTGTACACTGCGAGCTATGAGGATCACCCCCAAATTTTCTACTGTGTTGGGGGAAAAGAATCATCTAGAAACAGATCTTGTGAAGCTACATTTACCATGTTCTTTAATAATGCCCATGCTAACGCATGGTTATTTCTTGATCTGTAGAGACTTTAGGTGATTTGTGGAATGATTAGACTTTTTATTAACCATTCAGTTTATAAAATGCTTCACAACAAATACTCCTGTGTACTAACTGCAGTTATGCTCCACTATTATCTGCCTTTGACTTGCCAAAAAAGAAAACCTCTTTGGACACCCTAATGAATTTTCTCCTGCTGTCCTGGCAGCAGATGCACGTGCCTTGCAGCCAGGCCTGGGAGCTAGCTGTGGGCTCCTGGAGCGGATTTATTATTGCTAAAGATAAGGAAGAGTGAGGAAGTCCCTGCAGACATCTTCTCTAGGCGCTGTCAGACCACAGCCACGATGATGCCATCAGATGCCACAGAGGCCCCAGGGGGAGCCACAGCTCCAATCCATGTAACTGCTTTAAAGTTTCTTTCTCTTCCTTCTCCTCACATATATATGCCCAGAACTACACTGTTTGCTCAGACATTCAAAAGGATATTTACTGCTTGCCCCCCCATCTCTTCAGAGAATTTATTTTAATCTAAAAGACAGAAGACGTAAGAAAAACAAAAACATTTTTTAAATCTAATTCAGCCAACAATATTAATACAGACATAATACATAATATTATGTTCTTGAATTACCACCTGTGATATTATGACATACATATATATATACACAGGTTTCCAACCACGGCTCCTGGCTCATCCCTCCTACAACCCTTGTTAGTCTTTTGCTGTAATGTCGGGCACTTTGGGCCTCAGAAGCAGGCCTTAGAGGAAACAGAATCTTTCTCTCTCTGACCTTCTCCTGCCCTCCTTTCACCTGCCTAAGGCAGGACTCTAATCTGATTCCCGGTCATAAGACCCTCGTTCCACCAGGGGTCCTATCCCTACCCTGGAGGAAGGAATGCTGCAGAGAGGCCAAGCAGCATCTGAACAGACAGGCCTTGCTGGGTTTCCCCACTCAGTCTATTAGTATTAGAGCATATCCTTTTTGTCCAATCACATTTTGACGTGGTTGTCAATCATGTCTATGCAATGCAGCCTCCATAAAAAGGCCCAAGAGGACAGGGTCTGGAGAGCTTCCGGGAGGACGCATAAGAACTCACCCACATGGTGCACTTCAACTCCTCAGGGATGTAAGCCTCTGCACTAGGGACCCTTACCCTATATACCTCTCGATCTGATTTTTTGTACCCTCTAAAATACCCTTTGTAATAAATCAGTAAACTAGAGTGTTCCCCTGAGTTCTGGGAGCTATTCTAACAAATTAATCAGACCCCAAGAGGGAGTCATAGGAAACCCAACTTGGAGCCAATCAGAAGGTGCAGAGGCCCAGACTTGTGCCTGGTGTCTGGAGGGGGGGGGCAGTCTCATGGGACCAAGTATCTACCTGTGGGATCTGAGGCTACCTCCAGGTAGACAGCTCAGAATTGAATTGAAGGACACCCAGCTGGTGTCTGCTATTTGGTATGTGGGGAAAACCCCTACACATTTGGTCACAGAAATTTTCTGTGCTGATGACTTTTGTAGTTTAGGAAAAGAATCAGAGAAAAACTCTTTTGAGTAGTTTTTTGTTTTCTCCCCTCACATTCATACCACCCCAAGGCTTTTACTTCTAGATTTCTCTATCAAGGCCTGTCCACCACCAGAAAGGCATACTTTGTGGATTTCGAAATCCTCCTCCAAAATTCGTGTAAACTTCTTTCTTATTTTACATCTGACAATGCCTTATAATCTTTCAGCTCTTAGTTCTTAGCTCTCTTTTGCTTTATTTCACAAAATGGTGGGTGAACCTAGTTAACACTTGTGCAGTAAAAACACTTCACAACCATATGCAACCATATTCATTAATCATTTACAGAAGCTTTTTAAGTTTTGCAGGTTCTTGTCTTAATTCCAGCCTCTTTTCTTGGGCGCAGGGTCCTGCACTCTTCCCATAAGGCATCCAAAAGAAAAAACTCTCAGCTCCTATAAATTTCTCTCCTATATAAACGTGTTTAAGGCTCAATCTTAATAATCAATTACCAGTTTTCTAAATCCAACACCCTTTTCTTTCTTCATCAGAGGAACTCACCAGAATTTGTCCAAAGGTAGAGTAATTGTCTCAAAGTGAAAAGCAAATACTAATATATTCAAAATAAATCTTAAACTTACGTTTTACTTTTAACAATCAAGAAAGTCTTTATAAAGGTCAGGTTGAAATATGCTTACAAGAGGTTTAAAAACTAACATTTTAACATCCTTTTCGAAAAACAAAATATTACATACATACATGATCTCTATCCTTCTATAAGCATTTGCTATACAGATCTTAAACTCAAGCTTCTTTCCACTTTAAGAATTGCTTTCTTTTAAATTCAATAAAAGAAATTAGGAAATAAGAATGACACAACAAAAGGGATAGCAAAGACTGGCAAAGAAGCTGAAGATGCTTCCTTAATTTTGGTTTTTGTATATTATTTCTCTGACTTATTAAATAGATATTCCAGTAACTGAACAGACCAATTACCACCCTAGAATAAGGAAAAACGTAATAAGCAAAGACATGATCAAGTTCCATAAAGTACTAAACAAATCTCCCTCTTCAGAATTTTCTATTAGATTCTACAACAATTATTGAATAACTGCACAACATCTTTGTCTAAGGCCAGTAATCTATCCGACAAACAGTTTTATTTTCCTACAAATAAGCTGTCTTCTCAATGTCGGATGGTGGTTGAAACTTTAACTCTGATGAATAAATCAGAGTGTACTATACTCCACATGGGAAGTGTTTACAGCACAAATGAGGGCTAAGCTTTCATTAACAAAATTATAGCTCCATTTAATATCATATTTTGGTGAAATAATACAAGAGAACTAAGAACCAAAAAATAACACACTGTCAAATGTAAGAAAGCCAAGATTAGAAGTTTATACGGATTTTGGAAGAAGAGTTTGGGGTCACAGAGCTATCTTCTTGGAAGCAGGGGGTTACAACATTGAGAAGAGGAAAAAGTTAGGAGAAAAAACATGGAGCTATCAGTTTAAGAAAGGAACCACTGCCAACGCAAAAACCGTTTCGCCCCCACCCCCTACCACCTGCAGAGAGATAGAGCTGCTCTGTGGGAAAAATTTAAAAGAACATTAAAAAAACTACTGAATTGTGAAATAAACTCTTTTGATATTCTTTACAAAAAGCTGAGTTAAGAAAATTCAAATGCTTAGCAGCAGTACAATCCGCTGTAAATTTAAACTATATCCCTAATTTAGGAGCTATTACTAAAATAACAATATTTGCATTTTTACCTGGAAGTGAAACTCTACTAACGAGCAAAATCATAAAATAGATTTTAAAAGCAAACTCAAAAGAAAAAAAACTCCACACATTTGGACTAAATTTTCATCTGAAAGTAAAGACTTGTTTTGAATAACTCGAAAGGAAAATAATTTATCAAGAACGAATGTATGCAAAAGATAAATGCTAATTCTTAATTGTTCCCACATAGGAGAGTATAAGCATGAATATAACAGTATTAACACACACCTGTTTTAGGATGTATTGAAAAGAATCCTTGAGGATTTCCACTTGTAATTTTGTACATCAGCTTGTCATTAGAGCTAGAATCTGGATCAAATGCCTCAATTTGGACCACAGATACATCCTTGGGAGAATTTTCCATTATTTCTGGATAATACACAGGCTCTGATGTCTGTGGCGCGTTGTCATTGACATCCTCAACCTCTATGTAGATCTCTATAAATGATGAAAGAGGCACAACACCCTGATCACTCGCGTAGACTGTTAGCCAATAATGGGAGGTCGACTCACGGTCCAGTCGATCAGAAGTCTCTATGACACCTAGAGAGAAAAAAGAAGAAAACCGTCAGGCAGCATGTCAGCAACAACAACAAAGAAAAACACTGCTACTCTGAGAAAGTGCCAGCCTAATGATAATAACGCTGACTTACTGAGGGCTTGTGTGCCACTTACTAGTTGCATGACCTTGAGCAAGTTATCTAGCCCTGCTGTGCCCGTTTCCTCTCCTACAAAATGCAGGTATGAACTGTCCTCCATAGGTTGACCAAATGAACAAATACACATATATAATAACTAGAACAACACTTGGCTCATAATACAGGCTATAAAAGTATCTGTTATTATCAGAATTAGATGTTAGGCACTAGTTGGAGCACTTTAAAAATATTATCTCACTTAAATCTCAGAATAAGCCAGCGGGATGGGCTTATCTAATGGTCCAATACTTCATTTGTCCAAAGGTGAAATTTATGATTGGTTGAGATTTGCTGACTTTCCAAGCAGCTAATCAGGAAGCCAGGGACAACACCAAAGCCATGGCCCAGATCTGAGGCCCTGCTGTCACGCTGCGTTCCTGTGGCCCAGCACTGCCACTGTGGAAGGAGAGAGGCTAGAGCAACACTCAAGACAGTTTAGTCTATACGCACACCCCTTCTCACAGTGGAGGAGGAAAGAGAATATAGCCTTTCAAACTCCAGAATAATGGACTGCTCAGTTCCCTTCAGTTTCATCGCCTCAAAGGGGAATATAACCAGTGTGCTATAAAAATATAAATTCTCCTATTACGCTATCAACTCCAAAAGGGCAGAAGTCACTGCATTCTCAAATACCAGTATCCCTAGCACCTTACACAAAGCGCAATAGTTACTTATTAAATAGATGAATGAAATGCAAAAATATATTAACTGCAGTTGGTACAAAAGAGTCTTCAATTGGGACCCAAACTGGGACACATTTCTTATTAAGTCAACTAGCAAGAAATGAAATTACATGATTATGAAGAGGGTTAGAGCATCTAATTGTTGGCCCAGCCACTAAAACCAGTCAAAACCGTACTTAATCCCAGGACTGACCTTCTCTCAGGGTGATTAAAAGTGGAAATATCCATTTCTTTTCAGCAAATCTAACCTTTTTAATCATGGTGTAATCTTGCCCTTTGGCTCCCAAAATACATCATTGCCCTTTTGCTCATGGACTGATCATTCTGAGCTAATGATACTTTTTGTGTTCAACACCATGGTCCAGGTTGGACTTCAGAACTTGTACAACTTTAGAATCACTAAAGTTTCCCATTCCATGCAAAATACTATGAGAAAAATAACAAAAGCAATTTCTTCTATACTCAGAAATGAAATTATTTTTCTCAAACAAAAATAAATATATATTTCATATTTTTGATCATGACCTAAATTTAAATATTTGCTTATTTTAAGTTGTTAATATCAGGAAAACTCAATTATTTTAAGTGGAAGATATCATATCTAACACTCCCCCAAAGGCTTATAACTTAAAAATTAAAAATGTAACCAAGTAACAAAATGTGAAATAAACTATCATAAAATGAATGTCTATTGCCATTCAGAAGCATCATTATTTATTATTGCAGCATTAAGTCTCACTGAACCCTCAAAAAGGATCTATAATACAACTTCTACAACAAAGCCTCATAACTAAATAAAAAGAAGCTAACACTCACTTCATACAACAGACAACTGAAGATAAAGTCAAACACATTTCTTTTTTTCTCTGACCCAAACATAATCTAAGCATACTCCAATCCATTTGCTAAAATAGTAAAATCCTATCTGTTTGTGGTCTGAAAGAATAACTGTTTGCCATTTCTCTAATTCATCACACCCATCCACTGATAGATGCAAGGAAGTAAGGGAGTAACAGAATGTTCTCTTTAGGAGGATTACATATATTCATAAAACCAATGTACATGTTCCTCTGTGTTCTACAACTTCAACAAAATGCAATAACATTTGTTTGACAGGTGAAGTTTTATTAGTAAATTTTAAGAAGACAGGTACATGGTGCCTTTATTCACCTCTTTGGAGTTCTAATCCTCACATAATTCATGCTGGCATTCACTGTTTAAAAACGTGTGCCTAAATGTGATGTACAGGCATTTAGAAACAATTTGCTCAATGTTTACTACATTCCACACACTATGATAAGTGTCTTACATGCATTATCTTATTTAATCTTTATATCCAACCTGCCTACATAGGTGGTGCCTATTATCTCCGTTTCACTGATGAAAAAACTCAAAATTTAGAGAGATCAGGAGCTTTCTCTAGGTCAGGGGTCCTCAAACTTTTTAAACAGGGGGCCAGTTCACTGTCCCTCAGACTGTTGGAGAGTGCCGCGCACATTCCACACATGCGCACTGTGGGCCCGGCACGAGTGGGCTGCTAAGCAGGACAGGCAGCGGTGGCAAAAACACCCGGCGGGCCGGATAAATGTCCTAGGCAGGCGGCATGTGGCCTATGGGCCGTAGTTTGAGGACGCCTGCTCTAGGTCATAGTAAACGGCAGAGCTGGAATTTAGACACCACAAGTCTCTGATTTCAGTGCCAGCAAAATTCCTCATCAGTCCTACAGTTTGTATGACAAAAGTGGAGTACACAAAACTTAATGCGGTAACTCAGAAAAGGTAAGTCAAACTTCCTATTTCATCCATTTGTTCCATATGTTAGTATTTATTCATACACAGTAGCTTTCTCTAGTCTCAAGGTAAAAGGGAAAAAAGAAATATAAAATGGAAATATCTTAGGAGGTTTACAATCACAGATAAAAACAGCTATTAGTTTGCATGCATCATGTTCTATTTCTAGTCTTGTCCGTAAGTGTCCAGACTGCACGCATGACTGTGAGATGTCTTCTGCTGGGCACTGTCCCTCTCTCCCTACCACCTGGGCATGCGGACAGCACCACATCCTCCCTTCCGTGCCCCCTAGCCACAGTCAGGAGGGACATTTCCCATCCTGCTAATCTCCGGATATTAGTTAGCTACAATGAAAATTGAGAAAATAAAGTAGCTCTATTTAAATATGGCAGAAAATCAGAATTGTATTAGGAATTAAAATAGTAAATATTAATGTGTCAGATGTTACTATTTCATGAATTCATGAACGGTGTGGTGTACTTTTATAATACCATATGGTGACTGCTAAGGTATTCACGTTTCGATGTATTTTAATCATTATAGCCTTGTAAAAGACAAAAATTATTTAATACAATTTATAGAGAACTATAAAATAAAGAGAATTTCAGGGGCCAAAGGGAAAGGAGGGCACACTGAATCATCTCTTCTAACCCCTATCCGTGCATTCTTCACGAGAATGTCAACAAGTGCTCACTGCGCACCAAATCACTTCACTACATGATTTACGTGCGTTAAATCATTTAAAGAACAAAGCAGTTGTATGAATTTCATCCTGTGTTATACATGAGGAAGGAGAAGCTTGGATAAATCAAGAAACTTGTTTAAGCCTTAGAGTGGTTAAGAAACATGGCCTTGGTCAAGAGTTAAGTAGCGAGACCCAGGTCTGAACAGGAGGCTCTGCCTCCAGCACTCAGGGTCCCCCAGCAGGCTGTGCCCTGACCCACTGCGCCACCATCAGACACTCCCCAGCACCAAGGGTACAGCTGGGCTATTACTGGGCTATTACCATAACAGTCAACTTCCAGGAGTTTTCAAATGCTGAAATAAGGGTGCCTGTCATGAAGGAGAGAGAAGAGGGTCTGAAGACTCTGGTCACAGAGCGTCAGGGTACCTAAGCATTACTCTATTAACTGCTGAAAACTGTCACGTATACATAAAGTGGGTGGAAAGAAGCCATAGGTATGCAGGGCTATTTTGTTGTCTTCTCAGTTGCAAGACAAACTTCTCAAGTGGGCAAATCGCACTAGCCTGAGATCACTGGTCAAAGCCTCAAGCTTCCCATCTTGAATGCGGTGCAGGAAGAAGGTGTGGGAAAGGCTAGGTAAGTGTCCGGGGTAATCTACAAAGAAAGACCAGTAGTAGAGATCTAGCTTTGGTCATCTCAGAATTAAGAACTAGACTGGGAACCCCTTGGAAATTCTCCAGTGCTACATCCTTGTTGTTAAAGAAAGCTGAAATGATTTGTCCAACTTTAGGAAGCAAAAGAAAGTTTAGCATCTAGAGTAAGGTACCTCCTTAACCAGGGGTCATCAGGATTGAAGCCATCCTTTAAAGGTGTCCTGGCTTCTGAGGTGACCAACACACCAGCTATCTGGAAGTCTGACCAGAAGCAGTGCTTATTCTCTAAGCCACTATGATCCTTATCCCTATACTTCAGCATCCTTCTTTTACTAATCCTTCCTAAAGCCACGACTGGTATTTATGGATCACAAATTGATTTCTGTAACTTTAACAGTTATCTTAATCCCATAAAGAGAAACAAATTTTCAAATTTCCATTAATAAGACTTCTAATTAGTACTTTTAACAAAGAAAAACAAAAATAAAAGTAAAAACTCCTAGCCACAGCCATCACTGGATGTGAATCAAACAACTGTCTTCCTTCTCAAAGCTCTATCCCCACTCCTATTTCTCTTAATCCAGAATTGTCTACCAATCACCTTTGGATAATTACGTTTTGTATAGTGCGTGATAAACTCACTCTTCCTGGAGAAAAAAAATAAGAAACCAGAAAAAACTAAAGTTTTTACAGACATTTGTCTTTAACATATACTCAAAACAAGACCTCATCTTTGTGTGTGTGTGTGTGTGTGTGTTTGTGTGCGTGCGTGGACATGTACATCCAATCCACCCCATACTCTTCCGCTATGGCCTCCCTCTGTTTTCACTCTCTCCCCTCCCTCAGCTCCCTTCCTTCTCTGCCACCTCTGTCCTCCTTTCTGTTCCTCTTTCACTTTCTGAAATGGCAATAATAGGATGCAACCAGCAGATATGGGAACCTGGGCTGCAAAAGGGGGCATGGTAGTAGCCCAGATGCGCCAGGTGAGAGGGATGCCAAGAAAACACCACCCCCATTTGTGTCAGGAGGCTACA